CTAGATTAGCAGCGAGTGCCTCTGCGAAGGTATGTATCTGCATTTTCCTGGACCAACCTTGCAAGGTGGGGTAGTTGCTGTTTGCACCATTCCAGAGGCCTCGTCACTCTTTTTCTGAAGGTATCCCGGCACAGAATGTTTTTGTTCGGGCATACCTTTGGTAGCGAAGTACGTTTGAGTGTGATGGAGGAAAACTGCACATGTGACAAAGAGCCCCACGTGCTTGTTCGTGGCGACTCGTTGCAAACTCGTTGTTGACTCGTTGGAAAAATCCACTAAACCCAGCAGGATCTCGGACCTTGTAAAACCTCGGTCAGGCTAGTAGACCACAGTGTTTAATCCCGGTTGTCAACCATCACCACACGCAATCATTTCTCCTCAGCCTTGAGCTCCTCAAAGGTGGGTATATTCGATCAATCGAAAGTCTATCAAGCGTGACAGAACACGGTATCTTTAGTGTTTTACCCATGTCAATTGTCGAAATCGACGACAAGACGATCAACCGGCACAACTGTTCGGCTGCTAGTGAAGGACCCGCAGGGGATGCTGCACCATGTACTCAAGCCGAACGAACCCACATTTTCTCGTGTGCAAACAATCCTGAAGAGGAGGGACGAGTAGGCGCAAGTCAATCGTTCATTGATAGGCTTCCACCAGAATTGCTCTCGCGAATCTTCATGCTGTTCTTAGACCCAGACAGCTTTACATCACATGATCCGTCCCAACCCCCGTGGGTGTTTGGGCAGGTATGCTCTTGCTGGCGCCACGTTTCTCGTGGCGATGTACGACTTTGGCGCCTTCTGAAAATTTCTATGGACGAAAAATCAATTGCATATCTTGACCGTGCCGTCGACATCCTACCTCCTAACGTTTACGTAGATCTACGCTATGGCTCTGACATTCACGAATTCACAGTCTACGATGATAAACGCCCGGTCGATGCTCATCTGCTCCATCCTTACTTGAACCGCTGTCGAAGAATCATTTTCTGCGAGGGAATCACTTCATTTTATGACCTTATGCACAGCCTTCCGGAGAATGCGTTCATCAATCTCAAACATCTTTATATCACTTTACAAGGGGAAGATACTCTTCAAGAAGGTATAAATAAGACGATGGATTGGTCATCTGCGTCAAGGGCGTTGCATCTAGCCACTCAGCTTCGTATGCTCCGGCTAGTGTGTCATCAACCGAGCCCGAAGTTTTCCAAAATCCTGTTGTCTGTCGGATTTCCTTGGGGAAGGCTCGACGAGGTCGATTTTATTCTCAACATTGACATACCTGATGTATGGAAAATCCTGAAACAATGCCATGTCATGACCACACTTAACCTTAGCTTCGGCAATAGTCGTCCAACCACTTCCTTACTTGGATCGAATGACTTCGTTTTCCTTCCGAATCTGAAAAACCTGAATATTCGGGGGCTTTGTGGAAATCGGTGGTTCCCTGGCTTGTTACGAAATTGGCATAACCTCTCCGAACTCCTTCTTGATCATGTCTGTGAATACGATGCTGTAGAGGCTCATGACGTTCTGGAGGGATGTATGAATCTGCGATTTCTTTGCGTCTCTTTTAGAGACGGTTTCCCATTCAAACCAGTCTCTTTGCCCCATCTCACAACGATCGAAATGGCCCTCTTTGACCCAGGCCCGTTGACATATATACTGTGTCCAAATCTCACAACTATGAAAGCCCTATTTTTCATGAAAGGGTTGCTTCCTCGTATCATCCCTCTGATAGAGAATTCAAGATCTTTGACTGGTTTTCTTCACTGCTGTCGTGGCTCCCGAGACTTTCTTTTCACACCTGAAATGTTAGACGTTCTCAGGTCGATTTCCTGTACAGCCACTTCTATCTTCATACGGGATATTCACTTTGACACTGGCATTCTGCAAGAGATTGGACTGGGAAACATTCTTCCAAAGTTCAAAGTGTTCGAGTGCTTCCCGCAATCGGTCGAAGCTTTATTGAACATGGCCGACTTACTCAGTGTCCAAGAGGCTGGATCAGGTCGAAGGAACATAATCATTTCGTGCAGTCACGAGACATATCGGCAAGCCTCGCTATATTTTGAGGTAGACCGATTGCACCTCCTGGAAATGCGTGATAACATCATTTTCGAGATGAATGACGTGAAATATCAACACTGGAAAATCGTGCTGGAAGATTAGAAAGAACGGGAGAACTAAGTGACCAATCACCTCCATCACACGCCGGGTCAATGTCATCCCACTTTCCTTCTAGCTGTTTTGGTATTACTACTTTGCTTTCAGCCAACCTCTGTAATGTAATGATCGGAGAGCCTTTCCGAGTGACCAATGAACTAGATCATATTAGGTTCTGTCCACGGTATGCCATAAGTGAGCTAAAGGGGGGAACGGAATGACTCAATCTTCGTCAAGATTTTCTTAACATGTACCACCGTTGACGGAGAGTCTTTCCCTTCTTGCATTTTTACCTATTCTCTTCCATTCCCTGCCCTGCGGACGCGTCACTAGTACACAATCGGGAGATTGAAGCAATCGTCCTGAGGATCCCAAATCTTCCTCTGAACGTTGATGAAATTTCTCACTGGAATTAGAACGGCCACTGCGATACCAGATTTTTCCACCACCACCTTCGTGACCTAACCCGATATCGGACGTGGAGCCCTTGAGGACAATTTCATTCCAGATACCATAAACACGACACAACATGGGGAGTCTTCACTAACAGTCGCATCGAGAATGCAACGAGAACGGCGCCAGACAGCTCCGGCGAGCGCGACTCTGTCGGCGACCGTAAGTGATCGCCGTTTTGCTTCCGTCGCCGATCGTGTTGTTCATGTCCTCCGCACAGTCCTCATCCGAGTCTGCAGACACCCACAGCGCCGTGCCAACATCCAGCACCGCCGCGCCGTCTTCATCACTAGCGTCGTCGTCGTCGTCGTCGTCGTCGACAGTGTCCTCGCCCGCATCGTCGAGCGTGACGACGGACAGGTCGTCCACATCGTCGTCTTTCTCGCATGACGTGTCTTCTTCGTGCGTCGCTAGCTCTCCTCGTTCTTCTGCGCGCTCTGACATTAGACTAGTACCCCGCAACCGTCCTCCTCGTCCTCTGACTCATCTGCGTCCTCGTCATCCAGCAGTACATCCGCAAGCTCAACACATTCCCTGCCAAACACACCCAGCCCATCTTCGACGCCTACGCCACCGCCACACGCGTCGCCCTCCCACTCTACAAGCTCCCTAACGAACTCACTTCTCCCATCAAGCACCCTTACAACATTCACCACCCTCGTCTCTGGCCAGCTCACTACCGTAACGTCTCCCTTCACATCGCATCCACATGCTCACTCCACCATAGGTAATTACCCCAGTCCCGACCGCCCTTTCCCCCTCGCCCACCGCGCAGCCGTTTTCACATCGCGCAGCCGCAATCACGGGCACAGCCCTCGGTGTTCTCTTCTTCCTCCTCCTTCTCCTTCTCGTGACCTTCATATACCGTCGGCACCGTCGCAAGCTGCGCGAGCGCCTCGACGCCCTCATTCGCGGAGGCAAGGGCAGGGAGCACAGGGGGCTGCTGGATGGCGAAGACTTTTTCGATGAAGACGAAGATGGCGTGGGGATGAAGACGTATCGAGACGGCAGTGCTTCGACCATGCTCGGTCTGCCAGGGCATACGCACCATGCGTCCGCCTCCAGCACGATATCCTCTACCCGCACAACCACACCGGTCGGTATACCGCCCCTCGCAGTTCCAGATACCATTGGTGCGGGACTCGGGGGGCTTGTGGATAGCGTCATGGGTCGTCGTAGTGCGCATTCTCCCGAGCCTACTGCGATAGTGGCACCAGAGACGCCGCCGCCGAGCCTCCCGCCGCCTGCCACGACACCAGTCTACATCGACCCCTTCCGCCCTGGCTCGGCGCACGAAGAGTCTGTGTACTTTGATCTCGCGGCTCTCCCGCCGACGGCGGCATCACAGTCTAAGACTACTTCTCCTACTCACACTACTGCCTCTCCCACTTCACCTGCGCTACAAGCTAGTACAAGCAGCAGCTCAATCTCCCCACTTCCACCGGGTGCTGCGCCTCCTCGGAGAGGTTAGGATTGGGATTGACGAGCGAGTGGTTCAGACATTTTCTCTTTTTTTCTCTTCCCACTTGTGTTCTTTTTGTGACAGAGAAGGTGAAGGGAAGAGTAGAGACTTGGATGCTTGGAGTGAATGGGCGCAGTAACGATTCAAACGATTCGCTTGCTTCTGGGAAGAGGGAGAAATGAAATGGACTGAGATATGGACTTTTTTCCTTCTCTCTGTTATGGTTTATCACGGTTAGATAGATAGATAGAGATGTGGTGCGTGTGGCTTGCATTGTGCGACACGTGAAGCGGACGAATCGAAGACGTGAGAACGCGAAGCCGCACTCAACTTGGACAAAAACACATACTGAGTATACAAATACGCGACACTAATACGGATAGAGCAGGCTCAACTTTTCATCAACGCAAGCCTTGAAACACATACTGAGTATACAAATACGCGACACTAATACGGATAGAGCAGGCTCAACTTTTCATCAACGCAAGCCTTGAAATAAAAAAGAACATCGGTTGGAACGTTTATGAACCAATGACGGGGATCGAACCCGCAACCTTCGCCTACGCCATCAAGTGATAGATAGGAAAGCGATGCTCTACCATTGAGCCACATTGGCGTTGTTTTGAGTGGTCACATACGAGATCCAGTCAGGCCAGTGCGATGAGGACAATTCCACTTTTGAAACCTTTCGCCTTCCCGCCCACTTGTATCTCCTGATTAGCATCGAAAGGCCAGCCTCGTATGGAGATGGTACTCAGCCGGTCGCAGCTTACTGGTTTCCGAACAAACACACCTTTGCATCACGGAACTCTTCCCCGCCTTGACGTCGTCCATTCTAATCTGCCTTCCTTTATCTTTTTTTGTAGTCTTGCTATCTGGAGTATCCACTTCACAGCGCGCATCCATCACAGTATGAAGGCAATGTCCGAGTGTTGTCCTTTCTGCGTTATCTGGTCACTTGAGGCATAATCCCACTGGCTTCATAACAAACCAAATGGCAGGCTGGCACTTAACTAGAGGTATACCTCCAAGTTACTTGATGTAAGCACCCGCCCTTTTCGCGTCATTTCTCTCGCGTCCTACATCCCCAGCTAGCAAAAGATGTGGAAACACAGTCACCTTCAATTGCTCCGAACGTTCACAATCCTCCCCCCTTGCATACCGGCGTCACCGACGGTGCATTGTTTCAACGACGCCAAGTCAACAAGTAATCTTAACCGGAAACACATTTTTTATATTACGGCATTGTTCTACACGCCATGGCCGAAGTGGGAAGTCAAGTCCTTTCATCAATCTCGCGAAAAAAAATGGTCGAATTCCAACTCTGATGATAGTGACGACAGTGAGATTCGAACTCACGCCCCGAAAGACTAGATAGGAGTCAGACTGCCTGATTCTAGCGCCTTAGACCGCTCGGCCATGTCGCCATGTTCCGAGAACCCATTGTCGAAGCTGATCATCATTGTATCAGCCCCTATCACGCAGTTGACACTCTCTGATGCCCTGTTTCCTCTGTTATTTTTCCAGATGTATGCGTATGCTTAAATATAAATAGAACTTGAATGGGACATAAAGATGGAGAATTCGTTGACTTCTCGATGCCGATTTCAGCCGAGCGGAGCCGCAAATGCAAGTTTCAAGTGTGCTAGTGACAATTTGTGACCAGTTGTGACCTGCCGACTGGGCATACAAGTATACGTATTCCATCTCCCGCAAACGCTTTGACGCCCGATTTCCGGATAATTTCTCGTCACTCGTTTCAGCGAGATATCAGCGGATGCTAGTTTTCTTTTACCAACGCCGTTGCATTGGTTTTACGCGCAAAAGATAAACATAGCGGGATGCTTACTTCTACGTGTTCCGCGTTGCCGACCAAGAACTCTTTCGTGAGTGAAACGGACAAGTTCGACTCATAATCCACGCTTGCTCCCAAACTATATATCTTGGTGTGTACATGTATCATGCAGAGTAATTTCATTCTTGCACAACGCCTCTGGTCCGTGCATCTAGGATATCAACTAATGACGCGATCAATTTTGCTTCCGAAGTATGTTTTTCCGCTGTCCAGTATGATAATTCATACGACGCAATTTTTTTTTCTCCCGCTGTCACTTGCAGAGCACCTCAGGTAACTATCCCGCAGTTCGCGAATTATGCAGAGGTTAATTTTATGCCTCCGCGGGCTTACGAAGCCGCTTTTTGCACAAAGGCTTCGATGTTTCCATAGTCTGACCGGGGGAATAGGGAAATGTGGATGCTCGAGGCCCGTCTATACTTTCCACGTTTGAAGTAGGTCCGAATCGTCCCTCCAATCGTTAAACACATACATTGCATATTCATTAGCTTCTTTGATGATTAATACTTCTATGAAGTGAAAACATCTGCCAATGTTTCTGCTCCTTTATCGTCGCGACTCATCCCGCCTGGTTACGTGGCTTCTGGTCGTTTTCTGGGTGAGTGATTGAAAATTTTCATGGCGGGATATTCATCCCGATGACCGACCTCAAGGCTGACTATTGTGAATGCTTGAATGCTTCATGGTTTCTTAGTCTCACGTCTCGCAGGCTAATATATGTTCGTATCATCTTTTCATCGTCATTGGTCGGTTGTTTCCTCTTTGGTCTTCTCCCATGACATCCGAGAAAACTCGTGCCGCACGAATCTCCGAAACTAGTAGTTTCTGTTTGTTCATTCAAACTCCACGAAGATCGATGATTTGTCGACCATACGATAAATTTCTTGAGATTCTCAGTGGGCCCCTCATGGGTAGCTGATCTGAATGCCTCTCTTCCACACTCGAGCGTTCTACTCGATCTCTGAATCGAATGACGTCTCGTCTCCGTCTCAGTTCTGTACATGACGATCAAACTTAGAAGCTCTCAAGGCCATTGCCGGTATGTGTTACACTTCTTGTAAATAACTCTTTTGATTGAAACGATTACATTCGTCCAAAAATATTCTGCGGATCTGTGTCAGCTTACCAAGGTCCAATCTGCTTTTGCTATATATTTTGAAAGCCCTCTGTCGTCTATACTATGTCCTTGCCAACTACTCTCCGATCAGTATCTTGTTACTCGTCATAATGCCAGACATAACAAACTTAAACACAAAAATTCCTCCGACGCTTGGCGCATACGAGCTTGGTACTTTAGGTTCTGTCTTCTTGTTTGGAGTCGTGACACTTCAGATGGTTACATACTACACGTTCGACCTTCTTCATCTGTTGCATTCCACTTGCTTGCTCATTAAATATGCAGACAATTTCAGAAGGATACTTGGCGTCTGAAGGCATTTGTATGTGTGGTTCTATTTCTCTTGAGGGATATTGAGAGATTGATGGTCGATAGGTGGGTATATTGTGGTAAGATAAAATACCCATATTAGATGACAGCCCTTGAACATTCAACAGGACAATAGACCTCGCTAACACGCTACTGTCGGCACATTCCTTGTATTGGGTCAGTTTTAACCTGTCGTGTAATCATCTGTCTGTCTTACAATCAAGTATAACCCAGTTTTCGGTCGTAAAATACGGACAACGGCAGTTCATCAATCAATTTCCTGCGTCGCTTGCTCCCGCATTCGTATTATCAGGGGTCAGCGGTCCCGCAATCCAGGTTTGTGTCAAACTCCAGGTTCTTGCGACTTATTCATTCCTACAGGCGTTCTTTACAAACCGCATCCGCATTCTGACGCGTCAATCAATCTTCTCGTGGTTTCTGTGGACCTTGTGCCTTCTACGTTTCTTTAGTCTGCTAGGCGTCGCTGTTGCAGTTCATGCGTCAAGGTCGATCACGGATTTCCGGGAGAAGTGGGTGTGGCTACTGTCAACGTCCCTTGCGATTTCAACGATACTCGATATATTGATCACAGTTTCTGTGGTCCGTCATCTATTTCATCAACGCAGGACTACACTTGATAGGTATGTAGAAAATTTACCGCGGTTCAATCTCCACTCACATTTTTGCGACATGGCAAGAATGAGGAGGCTGGTCGATAGACTCATTGTGTATACAATACGTATGTGAACAATTTGACATGATACACATCAGTCCTCAAACACTATTGCATTTGAAGAGACGGGAATATTGACGACGTAGGGTATCTTGATTCTTCTTCAGCTTCCGCTGATTCAGCAAATCTCAGCTTTGCGACGACAACGATGTTGATAACAGTGGGCATCTACATTCATGATTTCCTGGCAGTGATTGCAATGACATCGAAAAGTTTATCGCAGTAAGCGATTTTGCCTGGCTTCCAATGTTCTTCATTGTATCCCGTTGTGTGTCACATCACTTTTAATTCCTGCTATCTAATCCAAATGTTCAAAACAGTGTTTCTCGCTTCATTGTTGAACTTGTATGGGGATATCAGAGCTTATGCATTCCGATTATTCATCAAAGGTACAGGCTCAATGATCGGGCCACACTGCGTTCTATTGAAGACACACAAAATACTTTGCAAGACCTCTCTGACATTAGCTTCTCTATGCAGTCAACGGTGCGCAATGTTTATTTTCCCTTCTTTTTCTAAAACAATCAATGTTCCACAGAATCTCAGTTCTACCTAGACGGGGATGTAATAGGAAATTGAAGTATGTTAAAGCATATGAAATCATATATTCTGGGCATGGATCTTGAGCTTCGCAGATATACCCTTGACACATCCAGCGACATGCTGGCCATTGCAGGTGTCATACAAGTTGCATAAAAGCCAACTTGAGCATACATTTCTTGTGACATCCATCGTCAACCCACAATGCTAACACCCAATAGTATTTTCTTGTGGTAAAGTGAAAAAGGAGCTCACTATTGTACCTTATTCGTGGGTAGAAAGAGCCCCGAAAATCATTCATTCTTATTGGGATTACAGAAAGGGAAAAGTAATGCATAGGATCGTGTGAAGGACGTTGAGATGCCGCACTTGAGTCCGGCAAGTGTTTACTCCTGAATTTTATCAGATGTCATGACGTGCTTGGCAATACGATGAGTCACACAAGGGTGACTCGAATATCTGTGCCATTTTCCGCAATTGAAGGTCCAACACAAAGGATCGTTCAGCAGAGGAATCTGAAAGATCTACGAATTCAATGGATGGCTACCTGTCATACATGATTCTAGCCACAAAGGTCTTACACGACTATACTTGGAGGAGATATAGTTTTCAGCCTTGAGTGTGTTATAAGGTATAATATAATTGAGAAAAGGATAGGCCAAAGGTAATTCATGTGGGAAGAAGGCGAGAAGAACGAATGGTGAAAAACATACGCCTGCCGCACCGCAGATGAGGCGAATCAATGAGTAAGTTAATCAATAATGCTTTACTGTAGAAACCTTATCTGCGTAGCAAACCTGTACAAAAATACTCCAACCTTATTGCTCAGGATGATGAGGACGTACAACTCACCAACCGCTTCAATCACCAGGCCATCTTTGCCAAAGGACCCATTGGGAACATCCTCACCAGTAACTTCCTTACTTCATCCATAAACAAGATACCGAACGCCAGAGGCAGCGGAATAACCCAAAATTCCACCGGCACTGAAGCCGTCCCAAACAAAGTCTGCATTGCTGGTACCTCCGTAACGAAAACGGCTATAAGGAAGGCAATGATGGCTCCCACGAAAATCCAGGGGTTCCTCTGCGTAAGAATGGGATCGGCCTGGAGGATCGACAGACGTTTGTTACGGACGCAAAGGATGTTTCCCCATTGTAGTATGACGATGGTAACAAAGCAAACCCCTTGTCCGACCGCGTTGAAGTGGTTTAGCTCGTCTTGAGTGTGTCCGTAGAACCCATCAGAATATTTCTCAAACGCCAAGAACAAAGCGTGTGCGGGAATTCCAGCGTATTTCCACATGTAGAGGAAGAACATCGCGTGCGATGTTATAGTTTCCATCATGCCAATAAATAAATATGCTTGAGTATAAATCTTGAGATTGATGAGATGATCCTTCCTGTGATCGCGTGGTGGAAGGGTGAGGAGGTCGAATTCCTCTTTCTCCATGATAAGTGACAGGCAAGGCGCGAGATCCGTGAAGCAACAAATAATAGCCATAAGGAAAGGGGAGAGGGGGAGTGGAACACCTAGATAGACATTCAAAATGACAGGCCAGGCTTCTGACCAACTACCTGATGGTAGAAGATACGCAATAACCTTCTGCAAATTCTGGAATACCAAGCGTCCGAGACGTATACCATCAATGATTGAGTCAAATTTTCCCATGAGGACAAGGTCAGAAGCCTCGATGGCAACGTCACTCCCGGAGACGACAGCAATACCGACGTCTGCAGCTTTGAGCGCAGGAGCATCGTTCACCCCATCCCCGGTGACCGCGACAACGTTGTCTCGGTTCTGGAACGCAGTAACAATGCTCAATTTCTGCTCAGGGGTCGTCCGCGCAAACACAATTTCATCATAGCGTGTA